TATGCAATGTCATAAAATATTCATGTTATAAGCACTGTGTCCATCAGTAATCAGATATCAAAATTAATCATCTGGAAAACATATACAAATGCTAAAGCTAGAGGCTGTTCTGCATAAAGAACCACATTCTCCCTGTCAAACCCACTCTCAAAACTGCATTTGACATCCATCCAGTAGGAGACAATGTCAAGTAAGTTGCCAGAATGGCAAATCATGTTGATCCTATAGGACAGGGTTTGGCAACCTTAAGCACTTTAGATGTTCTGGACTACATCTCCCCTGATGCTTTGCCATAATTTTGAAGAGAAGAGAAGAGAACTATGGGAGATGTAGTGTAGAGGAAGTGTTTCTCCTGCTATAGGAAAAACATTCCAGCCTAGATTTAACTGTCCACTGGGGGCAGCATAGGCTAATGGCCAGGAAATATCTCCACTCTCCTACATAATCTAATCTTGGTCACTGCTTCTCCTCTCCCCAACCAGCTCACTTCCTCTATTTGCTTTTGATGGTCTGGAACTAAAATGAAACAAAGTATGGGCGGATCTTAGCTGTCTAAAAGGGGCCCTTACAAGATATACACTTATAAGCAGGTGCCTACTTTGTCTGTTGACAAATTGTAGATTATGCTAGATTTAGTGTACCTATAATCCAAATTTTATTAATTACAGGAAGCGAATATTTTGCTTAAGACTTTCTTTACTTTAGCAAACAAAAGGGACAGGGAAAAGAAAGAGTGGGAAATATTCGCCTCCTGTCGTTAATAAAATTTAGATTATAGGTACACCAAACCTAGCATAATCTACAATTTTATAACATGACAGGAGGCTTCATATATTGCTGTTTTAACGCTCAGCAAGTAAGGCTAAGGAAGCGTGCACAGCCGGACGGAAGTAGAAATTGCGGAACGTGTAGATATCGTGTAGAGAAGCACCTGCCATAAATGCTGCCACCCCAAAGGAAGCTTCAACCCAAGATAAGGAGAGTAACCATCTGATCCAACGTGCCAGGGTAGTGGTTGAGACTGGGGCATGGGGGCAAATGTATGAGACCAATAGTTGACCAGAGGGAGAGGAACGGAGGGAAGCAGTAATGGCTGAGTAACGAGAGAGGGTAGACGCCACACAATTTCGGGAAATTGTGAAAATACGGATAGAAAACCATGGAGGAATCGGATTTTGTACGTCGGGATTTGGAGAAGGTAACCCCTTCTGGGTAGCAGGTGAGGGCATCGCAATCAAAAGCCCACACATCGGAAAACCAGTGAAAGGATACGAGGCAGAGCAGTAAGGCTAATTTTGCCGAAAGTTGACCAAGAGAAAGATCCGTGTTATCGGGCCAAACCTGGAGGAAACGGAGGACGACATTGACGTCCCACAGGTGTGAATACCTCAGTGCTGGGGGATGAGCCAATTTGATGCCCTGTAGGAGTCTACACACCAGAGGGTCTTGGCCGATAGGGAATCCGTGCAGAGGAACATGGGCAGCTGAAATAGCAGAACGGACCAAATTGATGGAGCGATAAGAGCGTCCCAAATCAAAAATTTGTGATAGGTAGTTCAGCGCACACTGTCTATGTGCCGTAATGAGATCAGAGTCCCATTAAAGACACCAGCTGCACCAAGCGTTCCAGGCGGAGAGAGAGTTCCAGGGGCCCAGGAATCCCAGAGTAGGTTCTTAGACATCTGCGATAGTTCGCTGAAATTCCAGGTTCCCCGGAAAGAGTCCAAGCCACTTGAGGTTGCCCCAAGAATCCGAGAGAAGGTCTGGACGAGATGGTAGGAGGAGTGGATCTTGCCACAATAGGTCCAAGAGATCTGGGAACCAAGCTTGGCCCTGCCAGAGAAGGATTAGGAGGATGATAGCGACCCATTGTCGGCAAATATGTAAGAGCACTCTGGAAATCATTGCAAAAGGAGGAAAGGCGTAAGCTCCTTGCCTTGGCCAGGCCTGCAGTATGGCGTCCACTGCCGAGCACTCTGGATCAGGTAGCCAGCTGAAGAACTGTGGAACTTGATAGTTTGTCCGAGATGCAAAGAGATCCACCACGAACGGGCCCCTGAATTGTGAGATGTGGAGGAAAACTGACCCGAGAAGTCGCCAGTCGCTGGCATCTCTCCAATGTCTGGAAAACCAGTCTGCTGTAAAATTCGATTCTCCTGGGTAGTATTCAGCCCACAGATTGATGTTGCGTTGAAAGCAAAAACTGTAGATGTCCTTTGTCCCTGCGGAGAGGGTGCGTGATCTGGCCCAGCCCAGGCGGTTGATGTATCGGACGGCAGATATATTGTCCATTCGCAGAAGAATGCAACAGTCTGAGAGATGGCCGGCCAAGCTGCGGATAGCGAAGGATCCTGCTGTCAACTCCAGGCAATTGATATGGAAGGTATACTCCGCCAACGTCCATGGGCTGCCCATGGAGGTGGTTGGGCCTGTTGCATCCCAAGTCTGAAAGCTCGCAGCCGACTCCACAATGAAGTCCGGAGTGGGGCCGAAGATTGCCGTTCCAAGCGGACATGTAAAGGAGCCACCATAAGAGTTCTTTCTTGACCTCTGAGGTGAGTGGAATCATCTGGTCATAAGAGGGATGTCTTTGTAGAAATTGAGCTTTCAGGTGCTGTATGGCCCGGTAATGGAGAGGTCCTGGGTAAATCGCCTGGATGGAGGCTGAAAGTAGACCTACAATCCAGGCTAACCTGCAATGAGGAACATATTCCTGACAAAGAATCTTACGTAGTTCCTTCTGGATTGCTAATATCTTTGATAGTGGCAGATGGAGGACACAGGTAGAAGCGTCTCGAAACCCAGGAATTGAATCACCTGGGTAGGGGAAAGCACCGACTTCTCCTGATTGACCACAAAACCTAAGGACTTGAGTAATGATATCGTATAGTCTGTCTGATATCGTAGCCTGGAGGTATTGTTGCAAAACAGAACCTGATCATCAAAATAAATTAGGCAATGTATACCTTTGGCACGGCGGTGATCGGTTTCAGCAGTTCTGTGAAACACAATGGGGTGGTGCTGAGGCCGAACGGCATGTGAATTGATATGGTCGGTCCTTCCAGAGGAATCATAGGAAGCATTGGCTGGTTGGGTGCATCGGGACTGATGGATAAGTGGATAAGTGTCCTTTAGATCGAGACAAGTGAACCAATCTCCGGGACGTAGGATATCCCGGAGGAGTTGAATGCCTTCCATCTTGAAGTGCCTGTAAACCACGAAGGTATTCAGATAACTGGACAAAATTCTCCTGATTTCTTGTGCACCAGGAAGATGGAGCTGTAGAATCCACCGTCGTCCTGGGCGACTCGATTCACCCCCTTCCAAATGAGAGAATGAATCTCTGAGTCTAGTAGTACCTGCTGGATCCTGGAAGAGACTGGAAAAAGGGGGGGGGGGGGTTGCCTGCACAGGAGGGGAGTAAAATTTGATTTAGTAGCCCTGCATAGTATCTAGAATCCAGGTATCCAAAGACAGAGTCATCCACATGTTTAAGTCACTAAACTATATATATGTGGCTAAATGTATTACATATATGAATTTTGCGCACTGGTTCCTGTTTCTAATACTAGCCAATTCTGCCCCTCAGGTGAACTGGCTAATTTTTTGGATTCCGCTTAGGACCAGAATCCCCAGGTGCTTATTAACGCAGCAGTGGCTGCTTCTATTGAAAAGGCCCTAGCACGGGTCCTTCCCTCGGATCCTAAGGACCAACCCCAGTCACACACACAGTCACAAGCAGGCAGTCACATATACTCCATTAGAAGCAGACAGTCATACGCACTCAGTTACAGGCATGCAGACACTCGCGCACACTGATAGGCACACACACTCAGTTAGAGGCAGATAGTCAAACATACAGGCACACACAACGGCACAGCTACAGCGACACACACAATTGGAGTCACACAGGCAGACAGTCACACACTCACACAGGCAGACAGTCACACACACACAGGCAGACTGTCACACACATACGCAGACTGTCACACACAAGCAAAAAGTCACACACACACAGACAGACAGTCACACACATACACAGGCAGAAAGTCACACACACAGGCAGGCAGACAGTCACACACAAACACAGACAGACAGTCACACACACACACAGGCAGGCAGTCACACACACAGACAGTCACACACAGGCAGACAGTAACACACACACAGGCAGACAGTCACACACACGGGAGGCAGTCACACAGACACACACACACACACACACACACACAGGCAGGCAGTCACAGTCACACACACACAGACTTACCTCTTTCCATTATGGCTGGAAGGGGGAGTGGATGCAGTTGGTTGCTGGGGAAGCAGGGACTCCTTCCTTCTTCCCTCTTCCTTTGCAGCAGTTACTAGGGGCTTCGGGTAGGTATTAGTCCCGCCCCTGCCTCATGATAAGCCCCGCCCCACCACTCATTAAGCCCTGCCTCCGCTGCCTCGATTTAAAAAATATATATTTTTATAGACCCGGGTGGAGAATAATGAAATCTTCCACCCGGGTACCTGTTTTAGCTCCCCTGCATTCCTGTCACCTGGCCATGTGCGAGCTGTGTTGGCCACATTGCGCCCCCTGGTCCATGGTGCCTTGTGCGGACGCACAGCTAACACACCCCTAAGGCCGGCCCTGGTTGCGGATTCTGAACGCGGAGAGTATCATGCTGGGCCCCCTTTGATGCCCGTTATAGATAATAGCCAATGAATGTTGGGTAGTAGGGTGTCCCCTTCAATGCTCTCTGGGATCCCTCGGAGGTGGACATTCAGCCATCTATGCTTCCAGTGTAGTGACAGTCTGCGTGAGCTTTTGGACTTAAAGAGTCCTGAAAATGCTGTATTTGTTGCTCCCTTGCACTTTCTCTGGATTCCACTGCTGTGAGACATTGTTGGAGGTTACCTACCTCTTTCTGAGTGTTCAGCAAGTCAGCCTTCCACACTACCCTCATTTCTGCCATGAGGTCTCTGATATCCTGCTTAGTGGATGTGAATGAGTCATCCTAAGATTCAGAGTCCTGGTAGTGGGCTCCTGTTTCAGCTGGAGACGCGGTAAGGCTCTCCCTGTCTTCATTGGAGTCCTGGGCGGCCTCTTCTTCACTGGGTGCCTCAGGCGCAATTTTGGCGCAAACGAGAGCCGAATGTTCAACAATCTGGATGTCTCTGGCAGGTGGAACTTTTATATTTTTGCGCCCCATTGATGTCTCTGTGTGTGAGGTGTGCGTGTAGCCACTGTTGGAAGCTGATTATCTGTTTTTTTGCCTATTTTATCGGTCGCTTGTACGGAGCTCTTCAGAAACACGTCTGTCTAGCTGAGCAGCTGGCAACGTCCCCCCAACTACTATTTCTCAGTGACAATGGTTCAGATTTCCCAGAATACACTGTAGAATCTATCACATTTAGCTGTTACACTTGGTTAAAGGGCCAGTAATATCTATTTCCATTAATTTGTAGGGTTCTTTAATGACTGCGAGTTAGAGGTATTTGGAAAAACAAAATTTGCCCAAGGGCTTAAAAATTGAAGTCATATGCTACTAGCTAGAGCCTAAAAGTTACTTGACACTGCAAGCCATAGTATACTCATGAGGGGGTGAAATTCTACACGCCAGAACCAAATTTTGATTGGTTAATGATGTCCATACATTTGTGGATTATATAGGTCCACTTTAAACTAGACATAATTTTGAGAAAGTAAGAAAACCCTACTTTATGTATACATACTATTTCAGCCCTTAAATGGGAATTCAGATAAATAAAAAAAAATTATGTTTAGTATACAAATATACATTTTCAAAAGTTATTAAAACTGAGACTTGACTAAATCTTAAATAACAGTATAATATAATGCATTATTGACAATGCTGTAAACTACATTATACATAATTACCGTAAATGTATTATGTAGTGAATTATGAGAGAGATTAGTCTTTCCAATCATTATGAAATATCTGACTGAGAATCAGTTTCTCTCTGACTCATATGTAATACATTTTACCCACAGAGTTGTGTGTGGGGAGGGTTTTGGGATAGTGTGAAGAAGCCTTAGGAAGTCTGTTACCTACACAAAGTACCTTCCTATGTACTGGGGTGTCAAACCCACAATCACCCTCCCCCACTCCAAAAAAAAAGAATCCAATTAAGACATAGACTATTGATTGTGATTAATTTCCATGCACAAGTTTGGTTCATTTTCATTCACGACCTTATGGAATTCTGAAACATCAGTAAAAATTAAGCCCTCACAACAGCACAATCCACTAAGAGGAATGACATATAGCGATTTCCTTTTATTCAAATAAGACATGTATAAGGATCCCAAAGTTGATTATAGGCTTACTACAATAACTTTATTCAGAACAACCATACAACAGTTTTTTGTATCTGCTTGTTACATCATTGTATTGAAAATATCTTTATAATGCATAATGGCATTCCAAGTGAGTGATTTCAGTCCTTTTTTATTCAGAACCTAGGGTGAATTAAATCTTTAATGGGGTTATTCACCTTCAAATCCAATTACAGTCACAGCGTGGTCATTTTAGCCTAAATTTTCCAGTTCACTATAAATTATAAGGCTATTTACTAAAGTGAGAATTCAAAGTGAATTTCAACTTTAAGGCCAGAGTAGCTGAATGGAAAGATTGGCTGATTGAGAAAATGTTTCCAGTTCAGCTATTTTGATCTTAAAGGACCACTCTAGGCACCCAGACCACTTCAGCTTAATGAAGTGGTCTGGGTGCCAGGTCCAGCTAGGGTTAACCCATTTTTTCATAAACATAACAGTTTCAGAGAAACTGCTATGTTTATGAATGGGTTAAGCCTTCCCCTATTTCCTCTAGTGGCTGTCTCGTTGACAGCCGCTAGAGGCGCTTGCGTGCTTCTCACTGTGATTTTCACAGTGAGAGCACGCCAGCGTCCATAGGAAAGCATTATGAATGCTTTCCTATGTGACCGGCTGAATGCGCGCGCAGCTCTTGCCGCGCGTGCGCATTCAGCCGATGGGGCGGAGAGAAGGAGGTTCGGAGGAGGAGAGCTCTCCGCCCAGCGCTGGAAAAAGGTAAGTTTTTACCCCTTTCCCCCTTCCAGAGCCGGGCGGGAGGGGCTCCCTGAAGGTGGGGGCACCCTCAGGGCACTATAGTGCCAGGAAAACGAGTATGTTTTCCTGGCACTATAGTGGTCCTTTAAGTTTAAAATTTTATTTCAATTCACAGTGAATTCTCACTTTGGTGAATAACCCTGTTAGCATTAGATGGTTCAATTGATGTGTGAGTTTTGTGGTTCTTTTTTGAACAGGTTTCAGGCCCAGATTTCTTAAAGGACCACTATAGTGCCAGGAAAACAAACTCATTTTCCTGGCACTATAGTGCCCTGAGGGTGCCCCCACCATCAGGGTCCCACTCCTGCCGGGCTGAAAGGAGAGGAAGGGGGTTAAAAACTCACCTTTCTCCAGTGCCGGGCTCCCTCGGCGCTGAGGACTCTCCTCCTCCTTTGGCCGTCATCGGCTGAATGCGCATGCGCGGCAAGAGCCGCGTGCACATTCAGCCAGTCCATAGGAAAGCATTCTTACTGTGAAAATCAATGAGACAATGAGACCACTAGAGGCTGGATTAACCCATTTGTAAACATAGCAGTTTCTGTGAAACTGCTATGTTTACAACAGGCAGGGTTAATCCTAGAGGGACCTGGCACCCAGACCACTTCATTAAACTGAAGTGGTCTGGGTGCCTATAGTGGTCCTTTAAGTCATATGAATACAAGTGATGATCAATCTGAAGCCAAAATCTTCGATCTGTATGAGTCCAACATTGAAATCAGGCCAGAAGTGACAGTCCTAATAATCAAAGTGTACGAATGACAATTTAATTTACTCAGATTCCTCTGTATTTTTTTTTGTTCCAGTGAAAAAAAATGATCTAGCTTAATAATCTGTTAATGATTAGACCATGTTATAGTGGTATACAATACCAGACAGTGACTATATTGTCCATAATACAGTTAATATGTTTACAACCTCATCTAGTGATTGATGTAATTGCAGTCTAGGTCAGAAGGTAAGTCAAGTAATAAAAGGAAGTCATGCTGTATCCTGCTAAGAGAGAAAGTGCCACACTACAGCAGCCATTGTGGTTCAAAAGGAAAGTTCTTCAACCTTTGCTTTCGGGTACATATATGCCTGTAATTTATGGATTGTGTGCAAAATAATGTTATGCATATGTTTAAGCTGAATATTTACATTGTTGTGTGTTTTGATATGTTCTTAATGTACAGTCTTTCTTTGCACGTATTTACCAATGTATACATACCTCCCAAGTGTCCCTATTTAGGAGGGAGAGTCCCTATTTTGGCCCAAATGCTTCTGTCCTTAATTTATATCCTAATATATCTCCTTTCATTGGAGGTGCATATTGTAGGTGTTTCTGAGTGTATATCAGAGCTTCACAGCAATAATACTCATAGTTATGTATAATTAAACTACAAAAATGTGTTTAGAAATCAGCCTGTGTAAATAAACTAGATTATTCTTCTTCTAAATCACATTTTAGTTGTATAAATTATTATTAGTAAGTCACCTAAAATGTTTCAGAACAGCCCCACTCACACCCCTAGAATTAAAGTGCCACTCTTTATCCATTTGTAATGTTGGGAGGTAAGATGTACAGTATCTCACAAAAGTGAGTACACACTTCACACTTTGTAAATATTTTATTATATCTTTTCATGTGACAACACTGAAGAGCTGACACTCTGCTTCAATGTAAAGTAGTAAGTGTGCAGCCTGTATAACAGTGTAAAATAGCTGTCCTCTCAAAATAACTCAACACAGCCATAAATGTCTAAACCGTTGGCAACAAAAGTGATTACACCCCTAAGTGGAAATGTCCAAATTTCATCATTCTGGGTTGATATTTGACACAGAATGGTCCACTTTTGCACCTTTTTGTGGCTAGAACATTGCAGGTCGTATTACTGAGACACAAGTTATTGTGTAATTTCTGCATTACATTATAACATTATAACATTATTAACATTATATGCCCACAGCACAAACTGATCGTAGTGTGATCTCTTGTTACCTGGTAATGTATTACTAATATTTCTGTCTTTTTTTAAAAGTTATTTCTTTACTTTAGCTCACTTCTTGACTTCGTTGTTCTCTGTTACCCGTGACCTCTGCTTGTTATACTCATTATGTTGACCTCCTGTAATTCTTTGACCTCGGCCTGCCCCTGTTCACTCTCTGTCTGTTTGTGCAATATAGGCACCATTTTCTGACTGGTCGGTCTAAGAACCGCTAATAGTTTACGGCCAGTCCTTTTCTCTTAATTGAACACAATAGTGTTCTGTTTGTCATTAGTAATAGTGACAGCCTTGTTCTAAATGCCACTGAGAACAGTTTACTCTCCACACCATGTTGACTACATTAGGTTTGAAAATGAAGCTTTAGGCTAAGAATCATGGGAATTGTTAAAGTAGGGTTAGGCTAGGGGCTATTATTTTCTCCTATCTCTGTACAGTCTCTCAGTTTTCAAGATTCCTTTTCCTTTTTTTTTTTCTGATTTCAGCCTCCTAAACTGAAGTCTCATCTTGCCTTCATACTACTCCCTATTCAAAGGCCTGTCCAACACAGAGAAACATTAGTGATATTTATTCACAGCAATTCACTCCAATGTTACGTAGCTGAAAAGAGACTTGCGTCCATCAAGTTCAGCCTTCCTAACATTTGTTTTTTGCTGTTGATCCAAAAGAAGGCAAACACCCCCAGTTTGAAGCACTTCCAATTTTGCAACAAGCTAGGAAAAAAAATCCTTCTTGACCCCAGAATGGCAGTCAGATTAATCCTTGGATCAAGCAGCTATTATCCTACATTGAAAAATTATATCCTTGAATATTCAGTTTTTGCAAGTATGCATCTAGTAGCTGTTTGAACATCTGTATGGACTCTGATAAAACCATCTCTGAGACATAACCTGACTTACATGTCCTAATCCTGCCTAACCATAACACAACAATGGCCTTGCATTAATATTAGAGGAGGCTACACTCCGCATCACCCACTGCTTGCCACTTTGTTTTTTTTTATATTTATCATTTTTATTAAGGGTGTAACACCATTGTATCACATAGTAGAATACAGTACATTGGAGCCATAAGAAAACAGGTACAGTAACAGATCTGAGTAGTAACTAATTTCCGGTTA